AGGAAGGGCAGGGGGTGCCCCGCCCCCCTCCCTTACCATCGGCTCAGCTCTGCCAGCACCCATGCAGACACCCCGGCAAGGCCCCGACTGCAGTGCAGGGCTGCCAGCGGGGCCAGCCTCCCGGCACAGCACACAGATGCTCTCCCTGCGTGCAGCCACGCTTCCTTGCCCGAGGTAGAGAAGGGGCGTGGATCCCAGCACAGGGATGACAGCTGGCACTGGCACGACTGGGAACTCACTGGTTATCTTCCAGGGCTCCTGCAGGTTTGTTTGAAGACATTTCTTAACAACAGGGCTAAGAACAGACTCTGGCTTCCCCTCCGTTCCCTCCCAGGACCCCGAAGCATCGCCACACGCATCCCAACTAACACAAGACAGGGCTCCTCCATGCAATCAGGAGTCACTGGGAAGCAGGACCAGCAGCCTCTAAAGTGCCCTGTCACTGGGACAGCACAAAAAGCCCGAGGTTTGCCCTTACTAGCGAAAAGCAGACCATCCTGCAGTAGGATATGGGGCATATCCCAGAGCTTGATCCCCTCCAGCGCTGGAGCCACACGCCTGCTCCGGCACCTCAGCAGCTTCCTGGCCGGAGCACCCCTTCGCACGATGCCGCAGCCCCTGGCAAGCCCGGAGCTGTACATCCCACCTTGAGCTCGGAAGTCTGGTCCCCAAATGGGGCCAGGCAATAATTCCAGCAGGGTCTGAGTGCACCCAAACGTCTTTGCTGGGGTCTGTTCACCCACCAGGCTGCAAACCCCAGGCAGGACCATCCAGCGAGATAGGTTTTGCCACACACTGCCAGCTATGCGGAGCCCCCACAGCAAGGACCAAACAGCCCAAGCACAGCGTGGCGGCTGCCTAAGCCCACTAGGCTCTGTCCTCACTGCCACGCTGTCCCTGCTCCTGGCCAGCCCTGGAGACCAGGGCCGCTCACACATTCCTCTCCGGCTCTCACAATCGGTTTAAAACACTTCTTCCTCCTTCCTGTGCAAAACGCCTGACAATAGCCTCAAGCAGCAAAGCCCAGCAGGAAAAGGGAACAGGAACTGGAGCTGTAAACACCTCCGCGCAGCCCCAGGCCTCCACATCCCTCCAAGCTGCGGGAGGAACACGGCTCACCATCTCCCCCCAAACACCCCGGCTCTGGGCTCCCCGGGTGGCCGATGCACTGGGGAGCCAGGGCAGCTCTCCACGTCCGGACCCTCTGTACCAGTGCATGGGCGAGCAGCAGAGCATCGCCCCGGAGCAAACCTCGCCAGCCACAGCACTCGTAGTCACCTCGGGCGAGGACAAGGCGGGTTCAGACGTGGGAGCAAGCAGAGGCTCTCAGCCCTCGGCGAGGCAGCGGCAGGACAGATGGCTGCTCGTGGTGCCAGCCTCTGCCGGAT